ATGGAGTCAGCTTGCTTGGGATTCTCTCTTCCTCTCCCTCTGTCCCTCCACGACTCATGCAACTCTAGCACACACACTCTCTCAAAATAAATAAAATTTTTGAGAAAGGGGTATAGTACAGGGAACCACCAAACTGTGTGTTCAAGGAAGGCCTTCTGAGGTTGACTTCTGCATTTATCCTTGCTCACCCACTATGTGGCATTTGGCAGGTTAACCTCTGGGCTTGGGTTCCTTTTCTATAAAATGGGGATCTCATGGAAGGAGCACTTACGTCACAAGACTTCAGTGATGACTAAGAATATAGGTGCAACTGCCAGATTACTGTATAGCAAAATGTTCAGTTCACAAAGTTTATAGCTAGTGGATGAGGCAGATGCAGCCACAAAGAATCATGTACTGGGCAGAGGTAAGAGCAGTGCCTAAGAGCCAGGGTAAGTCCTGACTTGTTCAAGTTACACAGACCAGCCCTGTCTGGCTGGAAATTATTAACACTGCAGAAAGCAGTATTAGTTATCTCTGGAGAAGCAAGCAGGAGTCAGGCCATATAGGGCTTTGGAGGCGTTAGGTCTTGAGTTTAATGGTAATGGGAAGCCACTGTAGGTTTACAAAAGCAGGGGGTGATGTGACTAGACGTGTTTTTTAAGACATTCACTCTGTACGGTCTGTGAAAAATAGATGAGAACAGATCAAGAATGGTAGGCATGGACAATAGTTGGGAAGGTAATGGAGTAGTCCGGGAAAGAGAACCCCGGAATGGACTAGAGAGAGAGCAGATGAGGTGAAACAGAGTGCTCTGAGATTTATTTAGGAGGAAGAAGCAACAGGACTTTACGGATTGGGAGTGAGGGAGAGAGGAGTCAAGGACGACTCTTGGTTTTTGCCTATAGTAATGGGATGGTGGAAAGCATTATGAAAAAAGAGAAAAGTCATTTGATTCTAGGCATCAACATTCACACGGATGATTATTTCATCTTCTCGTCTGGCCTCTCAGTTTAAGCTCCTCACCTCCAATGATGATTTTTCCCACCTTTCCTCAACCTCTCACTCCTCCCTGCCTTGTTCTTAACACTGTGCCATCTCCAAAACCTCTGTCTTTCCAGCCCAATCAATCCGTTTTTCATGCATTAAAATCACTCCCTTATAGACACTCTTACCTCACTTTATCCCCTCCCATGGTCCCACTTTCCTGGTAAACCCAACTTGCCCACACTTGTTAGAAGGAAAAACAGAACCATGCTGTTGAGTTACACTTTAAATTCTTGGGTACAGATATTAAAAGGTATCCACCACTGCCTGGAATTCTCATCCTTTGCCTCATTTTTCCATTCTTCAGAACTCTTCTCACATTTTCTCTCTGAATTTTTGTCTTCTCCCCCTACTTTTCCTTTCCCTGGATTCTACATCCAACACTGCCTCATATTTCACTGAGAAAAGGGAGGTAATTAAACAGGAACTCTCATCTCCTCACCACCAGTTCTACTAATCTGCTTGTACCTGGGGCCATGTTCCTTCCTCTAATGGATGAAAGTTTATTGCTCCTATCAGAGGCCATCTTTCCAGCTATACTAATACCAGCCTCTTGTCTTCTCTAGGCTTCTCTCCTGCAGCTACCCTGTTTTCCTGTCCCACCAATTCTCCCACTAGAGAATCATCCCATCAGCATACAGACATGCTCTAGTGTTTACCATCTTAAAAACAAAAATCCTCCCTTACCTCCCATTCCATCCTTAGGCATAGCCTCATTTCTGTCTCACAGCAGGATTTCTTCAATGAGCTATATAGTGTATAGTCTCTCTACTTCTTTTTACATTCTCTTTTCCGCCCATCCAGCTGCATTTCTACTCTCATTACTCCGTGGACTGCTTCTGTGGTAACCACATTATCACAATTTAGTTCGGCAAAGCCAAGGTCCCTTTTCTCTCTCTGTCCTGACCTCTCAGCATCATCCATCATGGTTGGTTGAGTCAAAATTTTACTGAGTAAATTGCACTTTTCTTCTTGCAACTTTAGCTATTTCTCAAGCCCCTTTAGTAATTCCTTTTCTACTCAACCTTGAAATGCTAGGGAGCCTTAGGGCTCCATCTTGAACCTCCTTTAGTCCTCTTTCCACACATTCTTAAGTAACCTTATTCAAGCCCACAACATCAAACACGATCCATACAATTAAGACTCATTTCTGTAATTCTGGCCTAGACCTCTCCTCCCCGCAGTAGCAGCCCAAATTTTAACATGTCCAAGACAAAGCTTGCTTTTCCCCTCCCCTCAAACTTATATTGCCCCCCCATTCCCTGGTTTCCCATACCTATGAACAATACCAGCCAGTTCCTCAAGCGAAAAGTCTGTTACATTCATTCTTTCTCTCACCTATCTGTTCCTACTGACTGCTTCAGTAACATATGCTACATCCATCCAATTTCTATTACCTCTATACTCCCCCTCTTGTTCAAATCATTGTTAAATCTTGCTCCTGTTACTGAAATAGCCTCTTAACTTGCCTTTTCACATCTTCACTAAAATCTGTTTTTTCATATAGCAGGCACAGTGATCTTTTTTAAGATGTACATCAGTCACTGTTTCTCAGGCTGGGGAGATTTTGCCCCCAGGGGCAAATGTCTAGAGGTGCTTTTGGCTGCCATAACTGGGTGAATGCTACTGGCATCTAGTGGGTAGAAACCAGGAGTGCTATAAATATCCTACAAGGTACAGGACAGTTCCTCACCACAAAGAATTATCTGGCCCAAAATGTCAGTCGTGCCAAGATTATGAGACCCTGGTTTGTGGGGCATCTGTGTGGCTCAGTTAGCATCCAAATCTTGATTTCGGTTCAGGTCATGATCTCTCAGGGTCATAAGATTGAGCCCCCACATCAGGCTCTGTGCTAGGCATGCAGCCTGCTTGGGAATCTCACTCCCTCTACCCCTCCCCAACTTGTTCGTTCTTTTAAAAAAAAAAAAAAAAAAAAATTTTAAAACCCTGGTTTGTGTCATTCCTCTGCAGTGTGAGTACTGATAACATAGGGGTGCTGAAAGAGCTAAATCCGAGCCCCTTTTGGGGGGCCATAGCTTCAGTTGTTCACGCAGGACATGCTCGGAAGTAAAGGTATCTCTCTACTTTAAACTTTTCAATGGCTTCCAACTTTACCCAGATTAAAATACAAACTTCCTTATCATGCTTTATAAAATCTGCTATGATCTGGCCCCTGCCTACTCCTCAGATTGTAATTTCTCTACCTAACCCACTGTCCTCTGGCCATTAGGTATTCCTTCAGTCTCTGAATTTGCCAAACTTGTTCTCAGGGCCTTTGCACTAACTGTTTACTGCATATGGGATGCTCTTGCACCTGATCTTTGCTGGGCTAGGTTTTAACCATTTAGCTTAAATGTCAGCTCCTCAGCCACCTTAGTTACAGAGTCACTCTTGCATTACCTTGTTTTCTCTGCAGAGCCCTTACCACTACTTAATCTATTTCCAAAGCTAGAGTATAGCCTAGCTTTGGAGACAGACATGAAAATAGAAACCTTTTTGTCTTGTTCACTGCTGTCTAGTTTGCCCTCAAGCAGTGCCTGGCTCAGAGATGCTCAGTGGATAACACTGACTGGATGAATGAATGAACACATTAAGTCTGGATCTTACCAGACAACCAAATGAAGAGGTAGCACAAGACAAATGAATATATAGCTATGGTATTCAGGTTGGAAATAAAATGTGGAAACATTTTGGGAATAAAAACTATTAAAAAATCATAGGTCTGGATGAGCTCACCTACATATAAAGCAAAGAGAGATTCTACTGAAACTTACCATTTATTGACATAGGCAGCAGAGAAGGAGCCGGGAAAAGGGCCTGCCCTGTACCCCTTTATGGAGCTCCTTTCAGAGAGCCCTCAGAGGAGCAAAAAGGGCCCTCGGGGCAAGTTTATCCCCGGCACCGCCCTCTCGGCGGGTCTCCGCACACAGGGGCCCCACGCACCTCTGGGGGAGCCATCCTGGGGAGCGGCGACCCTCTTGGTGAGCGGCGTGCGCTTGGGTCCACCAGCCAGGGTCTGCAGCCCGTAGGAGAACTGCGGAGGATCATTCCAGCCACGCTCCTTGTTGCCTGCGGGAGTGAGGGGACATGTGAAGCGAGCCCCGGAGAGACGAAGGCTCCACCCCCCATGCAATAATTGCCTTCAGCATGGGTAGGGGGACGACCCAGCGACCCCACGCCGCTGGCCACGCTCACCCGGCTTCACATACAGCTCCGCCATCTCCACTTCCGCAAGGCCAGCGGCACAGCGCGTCACTTCCGGGGCGGCCGTTCACCAGAGCGGGTGCCACCCCGGGGCCGGCTGGTTGACAGGAGCCCGTTACGTCGTATCGCTGTTCAGAAATCCCGGGAGGAGCCGCTGTGGGAACGCCGCCGCAGCTCCCTAAAGTACTCGAAATCTCCAGCTAATGAGGCATCGGGGCCCTGATCACAAGGCACCGAAGGGGGCTGTTTTCCAAAAGGCGGCGGTCTAGGAGTCCTAATCCCCTGTAGGTTCAAACTGTCACAGTTGTTCTCAGGAGTAAATGTTAACCACCAGAAACTCCTGCCCCACAAATTTCCCTGTGTGATCTAGCGAGGTGGAACTCTAGAACCTCACCTCTGTCTACGGCCCTGCACATTTATACTCTCTAGGCTCAGTAACTAGTGTTGATTTCCTTTCAGTACTTAGGTTAAGAATCTCACTGGAGCCTCCACAACCCTGAGATTTCCTAGTTGTACTACCTATTACCTTCTACCTCATGTAATGCTTGTTCATCTCCCCTTCTGAAGGTGCAACCCATATTTTATATCCACACTGTCTAGCACACAGACCTCAGAAAATACATTTGTTGAACGAATGAAATCAGATTTCCACCACACCAAGTCCTCATGTGACTACAGGCAGCCACCAACACCAAGCAGAGACACAGACACTCACCTCACACAGGCGTTAACCCCCAACCCTGTCCCAGGCCCAATATACTCACACCCAGTGAGGTCACTGAGGGATTTTTATTTGTACTGATTTTGCTATAAAGTGTTGCTGAGGTAGAGCCAACTGTCCAGGGCCAGACAGGGGCAAGGAACACGGGGACCCAGGGAAAGGACAGCCAGGGGCCTGGGTTGTGGTGCAGGGCCTCTCAGTCATCCCTATCAACATTTAATAAACTGGGCAATAAACAGAGGGTAGGCAAGAGCCAGAGGAGCAGGCAGAGAAGGCTTCAAGGAGTGAGAGGCTACAGGCCCCTGGAGAATGAACGGGTACAGAGTTGGGTATGGACCTAGAGCCTCCTTACCCAGTCCTGGATTAATTTAGGGCATATGGAGCAGAGAGGGCTTCAGGCGAAAGGCATCAAGAAAAGAGAAGACACCCCGCTTTCGAGGGGCTGCGCCTGCACCCCCAACCCCTCCTTTGAGCAGGGGGAGCGGCAGGGGACCTCCTGGGGAATCCACGGAGCTGGTCCGCTTGAGCCGCAGGCGGGCACGGGCCTGGGCACCCCAGGCCTTGCCTCGAGCTGCAGAGGCCACAAGACACTTCTGGTACTGAACCTAGGGAAAAGGGGAATGTGAGGATCCAGCTCCTTTCTGCCCCTGGACTCCCTGAAAGCTTCTGCAGAAGAGGCAACTGGCCATGGCTTCAGTCTGGTAGTCGAATAAAGCTGGTAGTCGGCCCCAACTGGAGCCCCTACAGCATTCCCAGGGAGCTCAATAACAGAAACAGAAAATTTGACATTTACTGAGCATTTAAGGAGGGCTAGACACTGTGCTACATGCTTCACATAACCTAACTTAATCCAAAGTTATTTATGAGGTGTTATCACCATTTTGCAAATGGGGAAATTTTGGTTCAGAGAGATTATACATGACTTGCCCAAGGTCACCTAGGCAAAAAAATGATAGAACTGGAATTCAAACTTACGTATAATATACCTTAAGCTGTCTTCCTGATCCACAAACTTAAATTCACTGCTCAAAACCTTTCAATGGCTCAAAGTGACTTGGGACAAGTAAACTCATGACCACAATCTCTAAGTTCTTCTATGACTCGCTGTTTTTTTCTGCCCCCTTCTCTCACTTCATCTGTCGCTCCAGATACACTAGATTCTTTTAGATACCATAATCCACTCATATTGCTCTCATCTTCACAACTGGGCGTCCTTGTATTTGGCACACCTTCTGTCCCAATCCCCTTTACCTAACTTCTTCCTCGGACCTTCAACTCTCAGCTTTCTATCAACTCTTCCAGGTGGCCTTCAGGAATGGGCGGTCTCCTCCATCTTCCTGTGGTGTACAACTGCCTTCTGGTCTGTCTCTGATCTAACCTGAGTGTTCTGTGAGGGATCAAGTATGGTGCCTGGTACCCTGCAGGCACTCATGTTTGTTAAGGAAAGAGTAAAATGAATTCAGACTGCAAGCATCCCACATTCCAGTGCCCACAGATGTCAGAAAATAACCTGAGACAAACAGGAGAAATAGTGCCCACCCTACTGCGAACAACCCCTACACAATTCAGCTGAATGTTAAAATTTGTATGTGTGGACCCAGTGTCAGAGGTTCTGCTATTTTAAGAGAAACAGGAATAGCAGTTAATACGTGAGATGTCCTAGCTCTAAATATTAGCAACTAACTCAAACTTACTAAAAACAGCATGAGGGCCAAATAAAAGAGCAGTTTACTACAATCAGCCCTGGGATTACTTGTTTGTGATTTCTGGAGGTTGCCAATCCCGAGCCCCAGTCACCAGTACAGAGCAGCTGCAGGGTAACCCCACCTACCCATTCCCACCCAAAACTCACCATGCAAGCCGCCTGCACAGCTTCAGAGAGTCCCCCTGCATGGGGCTGGCACCAGAAGGCTGCACACTGGAAGCTCTGACGGCCCAGGTCAGCAATGAGGCCAAAGGTGTGAGGGTCACGACCAACGCCAATGAAGGTCATGAGGCGCACAGGGCACTGCCATAGTGGTTCCTCCTCTGCACCAGCTTCTGCCTGCCCACACCAGGCCTGGTCACTAGAGGACCGGCCACTGGCTGGACCCAGTGAGTTCTTCCAATAGCATGCAATGAGCCCCTCAGCATCCCTCCCACCCCCTGCATAGCCCCCAACTTCACCTTCTTCTGGTACCTGAATGGGATGTGCAGTCATTAGAGAGTCAGACACACTGAGCATGGCAGGGACCCAGGAATCCTGGTCCCCCCGGGTGGTGAGGGTACCAATGGCCTCATTCAGCACGTCCATGCCTGGGGGGGGACATGCCCACCATAATGTCTCCCAGACATAAAGAAAGAAGGGATCTACAGGGAGTGTCTAGGCCCCTCTCTGACTTGGGATTCAGAGAGATGGCAATGGAAGGGCTGGGGCTGGGTTTAGAATCCTGAGTTGGGAAGGATCGCCCATTCTAGACCAGACAGGGCCATGGGAGCACTCTGAGAAATGATGGTAGATCTTACCATACCCACCTTCCCCGACCTCATGTAGCCCACCTCCTCAGCCAGCTCAGTCCTCACCCATGGCTTTGTTGACTGGCAAGGTCCCCATGTACAGTGCCTCATACTTCTGAGCAGCCTGACTCACTGCATCCAGCAGCTCCACTGAAACGCACACACAGCAAGTTGGCCTGGGCACTCTCTCAATGACCCCCTCACCCACCCTTCTAAGAACTGGAGACAGAATAAGGAAGGCCATGGATGCTCCTTCAATTCAGAGTTTGGGATCCCTGGAACCAGTACACATCAGAAGTCCCGCATCTCCAGGGAAGGACTAAACTACAACAGCTAAGCAACCCAGACTTTCACGGAAGTATCCCCTTACTGTAATGCAGGACCTTCCTCTCCATACCTTGCCGTGGTAGGTCTTCAGGGGAAATGGGGTCTAGGGAGGAGCAAGGGGAATCACCATTGACACCCACTCGCTCTGACAAGATCTGAAACACAATGCAACCAGCAGGAGATTAAGGGACAGGGGAACTGAGGTTAAGGCAGCCAATACTTCCCTGACCGAACCACCTTGGAAGCTTCACACCAGCTCCATACCCACATTCCCTGCCCCACTCTTGGCTCTTACCTGGGCACAGAGCCCATGCAGGGCACTGGCGATGGCTTTGGCAGGGACATCACAGTGAAACACGTGGCACTTGAGCATACAGCTGTCTTTGTCACCCGCCACAAAAGCGAAGTCCCTGGCAGGGTCAGAGATGGGGCTGGGGCAGGGACAGAAACTGGGGTAGGGTAGAGGCTGGGTAGGAAAAGGGACCTGTAGTGTCTGCATGAAACTGGAAAGTCAGGCAAGGAACATGGTGGGGATAGAATCGGGAGGTCAGGGCTGGGGTTCAAGGCACTAGGCTGTCGCTCACCTGTCACTGTTCCGGAAGCATGTGGGAGCACAGGAGAGAATCAGCCCAGCCTCTCAGGCTCTCCCCCATCCGTCCCTGCTGAGCTGGGCCCACCCTCCCCAACCAGAGCTGGACCAGGCAGGGGAGGCAGAGCTTGGGTCCATGTCAGAGGATCTGTGTCCAGGGGTTCAAGTACAGAGGATCAGCATCAGTGGGGATCACAGCCTGCAGGAGGGAGGGAGGAGCAACTCTCACTTGGGGGGATGTAGGGGTCCTCACCGGCCCTTGGAGCTGCCCACACCCCACACACGGATGTGCACCAGAGGTTGGCAGTGGATCAGACTATGGTCCAGAGGATTCACCAGGCTCATGGCATCCTTCTTTAGGATCATCAGCATGTTCTGGCCCTGCAAAGGAAAGGTCAGTGCAGAACTCAGATGAAGGCGGCTGCCACCAAGAACAGGCAATTCAGCAACGACTCTCTCCGCTAGGCCCTGGGCTGAATCCCTTGAAGGGCCAGCCAGCTCACCTCGCCCCAGACACCATCTGGGGGCTGGCTGCGGCTACGGCTGCGAGTCTGGGCCAGTTGCTGGATGCAGTTATTGACTGCAATACTGCTCTTTCCTGGTACCAGATCCTCTTCGGGTACCTCTACCCAACCCAGGGAGTGGACTGCAAAGCACTGACGGGTTAGGGGAAAGGACAGGAGGGCCATGAGTGAGTGGAGGCAGATGTGGAAGTGGAACAGGAGGTAGAGTAGGATGGCAGATGTCGTGGGTTCCACACACATAAACCTTCTGGTACCCACTCCTTTCACCCTTCATCACCTCTTCTCAGCCCAGTCCCACCCCTAACCTTTCCCTTGGAACAATCCAGAACAATCCGCCACCTCCAAAACCATTTCTTGGGCCCTCAGGCCCAAGACACTACCTTAGCCCCTGACTCCATGCTCTGGATGTAGGATTCCTCACCATACCAGGACAGAGAGTTCCTGGAAGAGAGCAGAGCTTGTAAAGTGACCACACTTCCTACACAAGGGACAGTGGGGAAGCCCTGGATAAGCAATGGGCATGAAATGTGGGATAAGACCCAGAACACAGTACCCCAAATACAAAACCAGAGTGGGAGAGGGCCCAGGATATATTAAATAAATGTAACATGGAGTGTGGTTTAAATTCAAACAAAAATTCAAAACTTAGAACATAGAATAAAAGTTGCAACCGGGGAACAGGATCCAAAACATGGACCAGAACCCCAAATTGAGACAAGACTCTCTAAAACACAGGACAGGCACTCCCATGGAAAGAGCTCAGTACAGTGGCCAAGATCTAGAACATGATTTACCAGTACCCAGAATAGGGAAGAACACGTAGCAAAACACACAGCAACACAGAGTCTTAACTCAAGAAATGGGACAGAGCTAAGAACCTGGGCTTAAAGTCAGAAGGAGAGTCCAGTTGCATCCCTGAACGCCATGGAACCCCAAGTCTTTCATTTGGCCTGGCCTATCCCTGGTACCTGCGGTCCAATGAGCTCTCCAGGCTAGAGAAGGATCTCCCCTTGGGGGGCCGAAGTCCCCAAATCCTCTCCGTCCTCTGTAAAGAGGGAACTAAGTCAGTGTGGCGGCAGTAGGCCTAGATCCACATGAGGGCTCAGCCTCCCTCCTCACACTCCACCTACCGTGCCTGGGTCCTCTCCATCTCCTGTTTCCCAGGTTGGGCGCTGCCACTGGGTGCTGCCACTGGGTACATGCCAATAGTAAGTACCTGCAGCATCGCGTATCTTCCTCCAGCCAGGGGGCAGTCCTGGCTCCCCCTCAAGACTCTGGTCCCCCCACAAGTCATCTACAGGAACACGGGATGGGGAGAGGAATCACGAGATTGGAGAGGAAAGGCATATTGGTGGGTTCAGAATAACCCTGACAGAAGCCTCCCTCGGGGGCTCCCAGATGGCTCAATCCGTTAAGCTGCAGCCTTAGGCTCAGGTCATGATCTCAGGGTCCTGGAATCAGCCCCATGTGGGACTTCCTGCTTAGCAGGGAGCCTGCTTTTCCCTTTCCTCTCTACTTGTGTTTTCTCTCTCAAATTAATAAATTAAAATTTAAAAATAAAAGAACCCTCCCTCCATCCCAAACGGGACAATCCTTAGGATGGAGGGCCAGGAGGTCCTTTAGAGTGCGAAGATCCAGGGTTCATTTGTCCCCTGGTCCTCACCCTGAGATATACCCCGTCAACTCCCTCATTCCACCTCAGCACCCATCCTCCCATCGGGCCCCTCCGTGCACACCATCGCAGTTGACCAGAATGATGGCCAGCATGTAATCCTTGCCCAGCATAGCCCCGACCGCGTCCCCGCCGGCTTTTGCCGGCCCGCAATCTCAGCCCAGCTCGACCTCCGGAGCTGCTGTGCTCACAAGCCCAGCCTCTCTGCGCTGGCCAGGCCAAAACGCGCCGCACAAATACGAGCTTGGGTAAGAGCCGGATCTCAGGGGAGGGAGAGGACAAGCCTGAGGAGCACCGCCCGCCAAGGGGTGGCGCGTGTAAACAGGCCTCTGGATCGCCAACTGGGTCGGTGTTTCCGAGAGTGGCTCTGGAAAAGACGCACCGACGCCAACGCCCCCGCTGACATCACGGCGCAACTGTGAGCTCATCAAGGGGCGGACGACCAGAAAGACGAACGTGCGCAGGGCGCCCATGCGCACCAATGAGCTCATCGCGCCCGGGACGTGTGAGCGCGGACACACAAATTGTGTCGCGCCGGACGGGTCACATGAGAGTACGTGAAAGAATGAGACCACAGGGGCTCCGGCGAGGGGAGAGCACCGGCACCCTTTCCAAAAGTGCCCCGGAAGTGCCTCCGCCCTCAGTAAAGATGGCCGTAGCACTTGGCAAGTGGGAGGCGGGGCTGCGCCTGCGCCACAAGTTCGGCGGGGAAGATGGCGGATGACAAGGTGAGTGAATGTGGGGGTTATCTGCAATGTGGGGTCGTTTTCACACCGTTCTGGTCCTTGGGAGAGGCGACACTGGAGCCTCTCGCGTAGAGGTGCCCTTTATGGGGTTTTTACTCTTGTCGGGTTTACACTCTTGCTACTGGCTCAACACCGGGGAGTGGAGTAGCGGAGCACTACACGAGGCAAGCAGAGCCGGACATCTCCCAGGTGTCCTCTCCTGGGACCCTCACAATCCTTAATTACTGGCACACACTAAGACACACTTCACCCTGACACATCCTCACCCTTTTGCATTCCCCAGCCCCCCCGAAATTTCATGTCTAGAAACACGATGTTTCCAAGCCACAAGGATACGCACATTCTCATTCAAACTCTCTTGCGCTTACACTGAACTTCATACTTCGAGATGATCAGAGCCACTCAATTCATTTACCCGCACTTCTGCAGACAGCCACCCCACCCGCACCCCAGCTAGCGCATCCAGTCACACATTCAGTTTGGGAAGTCGGCGCAGAAATCAGATTTACCCCAAGGGCGTCCAGGAAACTGCCTCACGCCATTATTCACTCTCAGTCTGAAGTTCAGCACCATCCGCATATTTACTAAGTACTTACCAGTCTTTGTGTTAGGCTTGGGGATCCAGTAGGCAAGACGAGCTGGTTGCCACTTTCAGGCAGCCTATAATCGAGGCAGTCAGCCTGATAAATCTAATTGAAAGGGTCATAGCTGTTCCTCTTGCCTCCCTACACACTTCTTGCTCTATAAAATTCTGTAATGGTTTTCACAGATGCAGATCCCAGCTATCACGCCCTCTGTGGCCCCGTGGGAATTCACTTTTGAATGTCTTTTCTTCATTACCACTATCATCTCAGGAAATTTTTACTTTTTATTTTTTAAGATTTTATTCATTTGACAGAGATCACAAGTAGGCAGGGGGGGGTGGGAGGCAGGCTTCCTGCTGAGCAGAGAGCCCGATGCAGGGCTCAATCCCAGGACACTGAGATCATGACCTGAGCGGAAGGCAGAGGCCCAACCCACTGAGCCACCCAGGAGCCCCTCAGGAAGTTTTTATAAGCTGAGATTTCTCATGCTCACAGCCCCATCCACCCAGCCTCTGATAGACCTGAGCAGGGAATGGGGCTGCGTTAATCTGCTGGAGTCCACTTCTTTTTTTGTTCTAGGATTCTCTGCCCAAGCTTAAGGACCTGGCATTTCTAAAGAACCAGCTGGAACGCCTGCAGCAGCGTGTAGAAGACGAAGTCAGCAGTGGTGTGAGCCAGGTAAAGTTGCATGCACCTGCCTACCACTCCCCCACCCCCCCCCCACCTGACTCCCCATCCCACCACCCTTGGGATGTATTGCCCTATATGCTTTTGAATGGGTACTAAAGATTTATTCAGCAAATGGTTATTGAGGTGGGTTCTCTGTGACCCCAAGGAAAATTTCCCTAAGAAAATGACGAAAAAAAAAAAAAAAACCAGAAAATGACACTTGAACTGGCATCCTAAGTAGAAGTTAACTAGGTAAAGAGGAGAGGAGAGAACATTTCAGGCAGATGAAACAATATATGCAAAGCTCTCATGGTTGGAGGTAGCATGATGAACATGGGGAGTATGAACATGGGCAGTAATGCAGAGCATGATAGGAAGTGAGGCTGGAGAAGCAGACAGGTCCGATTCCTCTGTAGGTTTGTGGGGGTAGGATTCTGTCCTTGGAGTCTTCTAACCACCGTGTTCTGAGATTGTGTGATGAGGACTTCTAGGTTCTTTTTCTGCCTCCAGAACCTTGAGAAAATCATTGGAGACAATACTGCAGCTTTTTAGAGTAAGGAGGAGCTAGTGGTGGGATGCTCGAGGGCCAGCTTGAGTAGATCTAGGGCCAGCTTGAGAAGGGAGACCCTGGCTGAGTTTCTTCCTTCATTTTACTCCACAGGATGGCTCGCTCATGTCCTCCCCATTCCTCAAGGGCTTCTTAGCCGGCTATGTGGTGGCCAAACTGAGGGCATCCGCAGTATTGGGCTTTGCTGTGGGTACCTGCACTGGCATCTACGCAGCTCAAGCATATGCCGTGCCCAATGTGGAGAAGACATTGAGGGACTATCTTCGGTCATTGCGAAAGGGGCCTGACTAGCTCTGGATCCCATGGGGGAGGAAGGATGAGCACCTCAGGCCTGCAGGTAGAGGTCTTTCAACCACAGATGCCATATTTGGCTTCCCCACTTGTCACCCTTTTGCCATCTCCAACTTGCCCACAGCCTTCGTCCTTGCTTTCCTTCCTGCAGAGGGTAAAGAGTGGCTTATCAGCCAGCAGTTTGGACGCCCCTCCTTAACCCCATGGGACTGGCCCCAAGATTGTGGCTTTTAGGGCCACCAGCCCCTTCCTCTTCCAGCCCTGACTGTGGAGTTTGCAGCTGACTCTGATTCTCAGTATTCTGTCTAGCGATGTCCCACAACTCCTCCCTCCTAGGCGCTGGCTCCATACTGATTTTACCCAAATGTGTTCCAATTCCTGCTGCCCCCTTGCTAGCTACCCAGGCCAGCCAGGGTCTGGTTTGGGCATGAGTGTAGAGGACGGGGGTACACCAGGCCTGGGCCGTCCCAGGCAGGCCCGCTGGACCCTGATGCTACTCCTGTCCACTGCCATGTATGGTGCTCATGCCCCATTACTGGCACTGTGCCATGTGAATGGCAGAGTGCCCTTTCGGCCCTCCTCAGCTGTGCTGCTGACCGAGCTGACGAAGCTACTGTTGTGCGCCTTCTCCCTCTTGGTGGGCTGGCAAGCATGGCCCCAGGGGGCCCCTCCATGGCGCCAGGCTGCCCCCTTTGCACTATCAGCCCTACTCTACGGCGCTAACAACAACCTGGTGATTTATCTTCAACGTTACATGGACCCCAGCACCTACCAGGTGCTGAGCAATCTCAAGATCGGAAGCACGGCCCTGTTCTACTGCCTATGTCTCCGGCACCGCCTCTCTGCCCGCCAGGGCTTAGCACTACTGCTGCTGATGGCAGCGGGGGCCTGCTATGCAGCTGGTGGCCTCCAGGACCCTGGGAACACACTTCCTGGACCGCCTTCAGCAGCTGCTGCTGGCCCCATGCCCCTGCATGTCACTCCACTGGGACTGCTGCTTCTCATCTTGTACTGCCTCATCTCAGGCCTGTCGTCCGTGTACACAGAACTGCTTATGAAGCGACAGCGGCTGCCCCTCGCCCTTCAGAACCTCTTCCTCTACACTTTCGGTGTGCTCCTGAACCTAGGTCTGCATGCAGGTGGTGGCCCCGGCCCGGGCCTCCTGGAGGGCTTCTCCGGATGGGCAGCGCTGGTGGTGCTGAGCCAGGCACTGAATGGACTGCTCATGTCAGCTGTCATGAAGCACGGCAGCAGCATCACACGCCTGTTCGTTGTGTCCTGCTCACTGGTGGTCAATGCCGTGCTCTCAGCAGCCCTATTGCGGCTGCAGCTCACGGCTGCCTTCTTCCTGGCCACGCTGCTCATTGGTCTGGCTGTGCGCCTCTATTATGGCAGTCACTAGCCCCTGACCCCCTCCACCCAGACTCCTGACTCTGTAGATAGGGCATCACCGTCAGAGCCACCTCCCAGGCCTCCCGACCCTTCCTCAGAAGCCAGCCCTGTAACAAGTGCCTTGTGACAAAAGCTGGGGAGGTGAGAGCAGCCAGGTTAGTCTCTGGAGGTGGGTGAACAAAGGGTTACTTCAGGAGACTTAAAGACTGGGTTTGAGTAAAGAAACGTCTCAGAAGTTCATCCACACTAAGGATTGGGGGAGCATCAATACCTAGGCCTTAGAAATGACTCCACCCCCAATGGAGGAGGCTCCCTGCCTCATCTTGCATGCAATTTTTTGAATGGGGGGCATGGGCAACAGTTGGCTTTCCTCGCCACCAGCGGTCACCACAGCAGACCCATTGCTCCCAGGCCTGGTACGGGGTACTTCAGCCCAGCTTTGGTACATGACTCCCTCATTAGAGACATTCATCCCTCACTGTAATGCAGGAAAGCCCAATTGCCACCCCTTTTATTCCAATCACCGAGGCCACCCTTCCAATTTCCCAGCTCCAGCAACACCTGGAGACAATACCCCATGCTCCCTCCAAAGTGCTGCTCTCCACACCCACCCAGCCTTTGTTCTGGAAACCCCAGAGAGGACTGGAGCTTGACTCATCTCAGGGAATGTTGCCCCTGGGCCCTGGCTTAAGGCTACACTCCTGACCTCTCTGCTCACCCCAAGGGCCCTTTCAAAGCCCACTGCCCCTTCTACAGCTCCTAGGAGGTACCATTCTTCTCACTCTGGGTCCTGCCTCTGCCTGGCAGTGTCCCAGCTCTCAACAGTTTAGGGAAGCTCTACACAGAGTGACCTGGAACCAGGCACAGGGAAATTTGGTGTCGCTCAATCAGTGTCTCTTAACTGTGTAAGCAATAAAGTCTTAATAAAGTGTTCTGGGGTGCAGGTGGTTCCTGCAGTTGGCTATGATAGTCCTGCGCCTTCTGTGCCATGTAGCTTCACTCAAACATAATTTTGTTCATCTTGGACCTTGAATGTCTTAATGCTGGAGTAACTTACTAGGAGAAAATACAGGAGCATTATTTCCTTCAGGGCTCCATGGAGTAGAGACTGTTCTCTGTCATAGAGCTTTACAAATTTCTCTGAAGCATAAAACTAGGGTGCTGGGGAATTTGGAGGGATTCTTGGGAATAGAAGGTACTGGTCCTGGCAAGACAAACTAGATTTTAGGATAGAGAACTCATGGGTTCAGTGTGGTTTTGATTCTCATTTCCTCTGGTTCTGTCATTGATACTCCTTTGTGTCATCTCTCCTCATGGCCAGAGGAACATTATCCCTGCTCCTGTGGGAGAATACCTACTAAACTTAAATTAAAAAAAAAAAAAGAGGGAAAAAGACCTATTGGAGAATCTTAGGAAGTAGGGTAGGGTCTGGGAATCTTTTTTTTTTTTTTTCTTGTTCTTTAATAAACTTTCTAAATGATTCCAGTACACACTGCATCTTGTGAACCACTGTCTGCAGTGTAGAACTATGGTCAGCCTGGCTTGAATTCGAATTCTGGCTCTGTCACTTATTAGCTGACTGTCCTTGGGCAATTACTTAACCTCTCCAAGCCTTAGTTGCCTTAGCTTTACCTCTGAAATGGGGGTCAAATGGTATCTACCACTATATAGGGTAGCAGGAAAGGATAAAATGAAGTCATGGGTATTAGGTGCCTAACAGGGACTGGCACAGTGAGACCTGGTTAGTGGTATTGTTAATTATCCATAATGAAGGTTAGCTTGGTGGTTGTGTCCTCCCTCCCTCTCCCTTCTAAGCCCCTTAAGAATGAAGAGAAAGGAAGCTGCTGTTGCAGGATTACTGATCATCAGATCCCTCCCCAGGGCATCAATCTGCCAACGATTGGCCTCAGCCTAATCTACTCCCTGCTGAAGCTGCTGGTTCTGGGCTTGGAGCTCCTGGTTCTGCGTGGCCAGGTTGATGTTGTAGGACACCAGCCAGTAGGCTGCGGTGGTGATGCTCTGTGGTCATGGCCTGCTCCTCCCACAGCCTTCGCCAGGCTCGGAATACCTGTGCCCAGATTGAGAGATGCTTGTCAGCCAGTCAGCCTTGGAACCATTTCAAGGCCTGCCTTCTGACCTCACTGACCTGCAGCATGTGGCGTGTCTGAGCTCGGGCAGCCTGCACGTGCAGGTCATAGAGGGCTGTGAGGTCCTGCTCCGAAGTGTCCTGCTCTGCTTGAAGGGCCTCCAGCCGCAGTCTCAGCATCGTCTGCTCCCGGAGCCATCTCTGCCTCTCCTTGGAGGCCTTCAGTGATAATACATATTCTTTGTTCAGTGCTACCTGTGTGCCAGGCTCTCTTCTAAACACTTCATGTGTATTATTTCACTTTCTCCAGTGAAAAAACCATATGGGGTAGTTGCCATTTTAGTTTTCCAAATCGGGTACATAGATTTGGAAACCGTGGATCAGAGAAGTGACCTAACCTGCACAAATTCACATGGCTAGCGAGGGACAGAACTGAGATGACAAATGCCTTTCAGTGGTTTGCTGTCACTCTTAGGGTAAAGTCCAAATTCAGAGGCATGGCACACACTGGTCTCTTTAGTCTCATCTCTGACCCTGCACCTGCCAGGACCCGCCAGATGGACAATTTGTTCTACCCAGACTGTACTTTGCCACTGCTTCCCTCTGGACTTTTGCTCATACAGTATTGTCCTCAGAACATATCTGCACCACCTCCATGGACACAAGTTTTGTTTCTGAATTTGCTCAAACAAGTTATATTTACTCAGTGCCTCTATGTGATGGTACAGACTGCCCAAGCGGAGCTCAGTCTAGTAAATTCCTCTGGCTGATCTGTTTTTTTGTCTCCGGTAAATGCCATCTTTTATGATCCACTCCAGCCTGGGTCAGGCACACCTCTTTGTTCCCATAAGCCCTTAGCTCCCTGCATCACAGTACTTAGCACTGAAAATCACTTCATCTGTCCCCCACAAAGCTGTGAAGACCATGAGAGAGGGTATGGCCCAGTCTATTGTGATTGAGGCTGGATTCCACCCCCAGCATAGTGCCTGGACCAATTAGAAGCCTCAAGTCCCTTACCTGACCCTCCTTACCTCCTTTCCAACCACCAGGGCTTTGACCTGGTCACCTGCCACCACCTCCTCCTGTCCCAAACGCTTCAGTTCCTCTTGGATCCATATTTGGTGCTGTTCGTGCAGTCTCTTCCTCCGGGCCTGGGCCAAGAAGAACTGCAAGGCCACATCTGGGACCTGCCAGGCCTAGGTGGCATCAGTCTAGGCTTAGAAGCCATGTTTGTTCGCAGCCTTGGGACTCAGGGTCCAGCTTTTCAACAGAACCCCACTACCAGGGCTGCTCCCAGAACTACATCCAGGACCTACTGTCCTATAAGGGCCTGGAACCTGGACAGAGACTTGGAGGTCAGAGGGAGAAAGGAGAGTTACTGGCTCTGCCAATAGGTACCATGGAGGCCTGAAAGATTCTATACCCTTAATGTGACCCAGTAGGAAAATAGCCTTCCTATGCCCCCTCCCCCTTAGGAATCACATAGGGCCTTCTTTTTGCCAGAAGCTCTCTATTCCTTCCTGATGCTGGGACAGAGAAGCAGTAGCTACATTAACTGGGCTCTGCAACTCTACTCTCCCAACAACTTCCAGCTGTTCTGGGGCACATGAGGTATATTACCTGTTCCTCAGAGTCCCTAAGAGGATGATTTTGGTGGAGTCCAAGTCCTAGAGATGCTGTTATTCCTACCACTGGAAGAAAATGCAGTTAAGCCCAGTAAAGGTGGAGGAGATACCCAGCTTCACCCCAAACTCCAAACCCACCTTTGGGCTCTCCCTGGAATCCTGGGCTTTGGCTTGCTGTTAAATCTCTGACCTGCTGAGAATAAAGTAGGAGTGAGAATTCCATACTCTTCCTCCCAGGATAGTGTGAATTAAGCTCAGGGCTTTAAAATCAGACAGATTGCTGTGCCAGCCCCTCCACCTCTCAGGTGTGTGACCTCAGGCAGATGACTAGTGTTTTGAATCCATGTAAAATAGAGCTGACAAAATTTGTAGAGAGCATGAAATAAGATAATGCACCCAAAGCACAAGTGGCAGGCACTGCTCAATAAATGGGAGCTTCCCTGCCTAATTCCCAGAGCTCAGGGCTAGAAAAACAAGTTGTAAGGAAATAGGAAAAGGGAAGGACCAGGAGGTGGACAGGAGCAGCCGTCCAGGCACACAGTGTCAAATCCTGGAGGACAGTGCCCCCTGCTGCACAGGAGAGGCCATGCACTCTAAACTGATGCAAAAGTACCATATTGAGTCTAAAGACTTGGGCATGTTTGCCCTTCTGCTACCTTTGATTGTATCAGTGACCCCGAGATGCTCAGATCCCTTCTCTGAGCCGCCGTTTGCTCACCTGAAAAATGTAAGCAGTGTTGTCTTCTCTGCTTAAAAAAAATTCTATGTTTTCCCCGTTGACCTTCAAGATGAAGTCCAAATATCTCAATAAATTCACAAAGCCCTTTATAAACTGACCCCCACTTCACCCCTTTTTTCCCAACTTCACTACTTAATCCTTCTCTCTTGACTCTTCCTCAAACTATTCTCCAGCAAAATGAGCCACTTGCAGTCTCCCAAAGAGATCAAGCTCTCCCTTAATTTTTCAAGACTTTGCCTATTATATTCTGTGCCTAGAATGTTCTTCACCTCCTTCGGGAATCAACTTCCTCCATGAAATGTTCCTTCCTTCTCTTGCCAAGACTAACTTAGATGCCTCATAGAACCCTGTGTTGATAGGGCCTTCACAGTACTGATGATGGTGTTAAAAATTGTTTCTTTCCAGAAATTATAAACTCCATGAGGACAGGGATTTCCCAGGGTCTGCATAGCACTATGCCTGACACATAGTGAGAAGTCAATAAATGTCTGGGAATCAGTAAATAGTGAACGAAGGAAGGGCCACCTCATAGTGCTCTGTAAAGGCAGACATCAATGGGGCTCCTAAGAGGTGGAACAAGAAGACCTACCTGTAGTTCTGGGAGCCTCACAGCCTCAGCTTTTACCCTTTTGAGCATCTGGCTCCCTGGGCGCCGGCTCCAGGCTTTTACTACCTATGGAGAGGGGGTTTAGGGTAGGCTCTAGCCATTGCTCTCTGGGGCACCTCCAGGCCTCACTTTGCTTACCTGCAATTCTCGCAATGCCCTGCTCAACTGGCTGAGCCCACTATCTGTCAGGTTGTCTCCGAGGAGGCCTGAACGCAGGCTCTTCAGGCCAGCCCGGCGGGCCCGGGCCTCTTCTACTGCATCCCACAGGGTGGGCCTCACCTGTTTCGCCTGCATCCTCCTTCCCTCGGCCCCCGACAGAGCAGCCCAGAGCAAGCTTGGGGAGCCACCTAGTGAGGGGACATTCAAAGTGAATCACTCCTTCTGGATTCCAAAGCACACTACCTGTAATACTTTTAATTTTTACTAATAGCATTATTTATAAAAAGAGCTAATACCTATCAGGCGTTTATGTGTATTTGGTGGCACTGTGCTAAGGCTTTTCATGGATTCCCTTTTTTTATCCACATAACGCTTCAATGCAACTCTCATTTGTCTTACTCCCACATTTTCCAGATGAAGCAAATGAAGCTCAGAGAAGTTAAGGAATTTCCTGATAGTAGCAGAGCTGAAATTTAAGTCCAGTTCTGTCTGGCCTTAAGGCCTGGGCCCTTAATCATGATACCAAACTGGCTAGTGGATAAACACACTTTTGTCCTTCACTGCTTTATCTTTGAAGGCATGAACTGCCCTAATTTATCCTCCTCACTCCACAGGGCCTGGCACAGTGCAAGGTCTGGGAGTATATTAATCAAATTAATTTGTGTTTGTTAGTTTGGGAGACAGAGAGCCAGGCTGCTGCTGCTGCTGCTGCTGCTGCTGCTTCTTCTTCTTCTTCTTCTTCTTCTTCTTCTTCTTCTTTTTTTACCTTTGTTATAGAAAATTTCAAACATATACAAAGTACAGGAAACCCATCTATTTACCACCCAGCTTCAATAATTATCAAATCTTAATCATTCTTGTTTGATCTGTACCCTCCAGTTGGCCTCCCCCACATCTCTGACATCATATCATTTCACAGAGGCCTGATTTTTAATAAGTCTGTGAAAACAGGCAAGTTCTTTCCCTTCTCTGATCTTTCATTTCCTTGTTTATAAATTACGCTTCCCTTTCTTTTTTTTTTTTTTTAAGATTTATTTATTTATTTGACAGAGAAAGATCACAAGTAGGCAGAGAGGCAAGCAGAGAGAAAGAGGAGGAAGCAGGCTCCCTGCTAAGCAAAGAGCCCGATGCGGGACTCACTCCCTGGACTCTGGGATCATGACCTGAGCCGAAGGCAGAGGCTTTAACCCACTGAGCCACCCAGGTGCCCCATACACTTCCCTTTCTTTCCTCATCTAAGTTATATGTGTCTCATGGAGTTGTGGTAAGAATAAAAGGCATTAGTGTAAAAATGCTTGGTAAACTGTTGAAAGTCTCTGAAGGATGGGGGGTTGCTTTTCTATTGGCCCTGCCTCTCCAGCCTTTGAAGCAACCTAGCCATCCGGGAACCTTTCTGAATCCTGGCCCTCCCAGAGGGTCAGGCTCTCTCTGCACTGCAGTTGGGACTGCAGCTGATTGGGTAAGAGGGTGGATCGGGCATAAGTTAGATCCCAGAGCTTCCCCAAGAACCCCACACCCTCCCCTCAGGCCACCTTGAGGGTCCAGGCGAAGAAGAATGCCACTGTAGTTGTTTCCTTCCAGGAGCCGCGAGACAATCCAGGGCAACGAGCCCTCCACCTCCTCACCAATAACCTTACCAGCCAATACCTGCAGCAGGGGGCAATCTCTGCCCAAGGGAGGGAGGAAGAAAAGAGATGTCCTCTGATGGATAGGGAAAGAAACTGGCCCAAATCACATTCTGATGGAAAGATTGACTATTTCCAGTAACTTCTGTGCACCACCAGGCAGATTTGCAGCCTTGCATAGATCTTTATTTTATTATTTTTAAAATTACACAATATATTCTCATAGTTCAAAATTTATTTTGTCTATTGGATAAGGGAATTGTATTCAGAATATTTAAAGAACTCTTACAACTCAGTAATAAAAGACTAATCACCTAATTAAAAATGGCAAAGCAAGGTGACATCCACAAAAATGGCAGAGTGGGGAACTCTGGGAGTCTGTCCTTCATCAGAAAGGTCTGGCAAAAATGGTCAGAGTCAACCTTCCTAGAATTTGGGGGAACAATCCAAGTCCAAGGCTTAGAGCAACCAAGGGATTGCTTCACTGAGAGAAAGCCAACCTAAATATGTTGAGTTCTCCGTGGTGTTAATCACTTACCCCACCCCCAACCTCCTCCCCAGCACAGAGGTGGTCTTGAAGACAACAGTCCGCATTTCTGGTGGGGGTACTTGGCTCTGGAGAGAGCTGAGTAGATCTTGTTCCCAAGGAATTGTGTTTGATGTTTTGGCTATTTAGGTTTTCCCCAAAAGGGCTTTGTATCACTTCTAATGCTCTCAGGGCAGAACAGCTATGCTAGAGGACAGTCCCTCAAAACATTGAAAGATGAAAGAATGAGCAAAAATAGCAGTTGGAGCAAACAACAGATGCATGGAAAGACTGGGAGGCAAGAAAAGTTGAGGAGTGAGATTTTAGGGGAATAAGAAAAATCCCCACACATTAGGGAACCTAGAAAGCCACACACATTCTGGGGCTGCCTTGGGTCTCTGCATCCATATTTCAGCCTCCCCACAAACCGCCACTCCCCAAAGTAGTCAGAAGATTCCATGAGACTTACAGGGCTCTGGGGAGCTGCAGGATCCTCAAGGCCCCTCGCCACATGCCCTGGATCCCAGGCCCCTCAGGAGGATCAGGCCCCGGGCAGGAAATGGTGACAGTGAGCAGAGAACAGGCCCTGTGGAGGAGAGGGTAGGATCAAGCCAAACACCTAAGGGACGGGGGTGGGAGGTGACAGGTGCCCTCTGTCCTCACCTGCCTTCATCGCCCGCAGCCTGCAAGTACAGCCCCGAGGCCACTCTTGAGTCAGACACCTCCACCTCACTGGCATTTTCCACTACCCTGGAGGAAGGGAGGCTGAGCTCAATTCCCAAGCACCAGAGTCCTGTCCAGCCCCCAGAACCTCTGTGTGGGAAGCTAGATGGGATCCCAAGAGCCTGTGAGAATCATCCCTAAGGTTCCAAGCTCAGTATATCCCCTAAAAGTCTCTCATCTGTACAATCTCCTTTTTCCTCCAGTTATCTGACCAGTGAGGGAAACAGGCTAGTTGGAATTTCTCCCATTTTGCAGATGGAGAAACTGAAGTTCTGCTCAGTAAGATGCTCAACTGTCCAAGGATAAGGACCGAGATGAAGAGGCATAGAAGGATAGGGTAAGAAGAATGAGAGGGTTAGGGATATGGGATGCAGGGAAGAGGAGGAGGAGGTGTGATAAGCATGACCCCAAGTTTATGGCAGTGGGGAGAAACCTCCAAGGGCTGGGTTTGGGGGTGTCAGCCCTGCTTTAAGACAAGCACCCTCAGATCCCCTTGGGCCCTAGATACTCACAAGCCCAGGGGGGACACATCTAGCACTGACAAGTTCTCTGTCCCTGGAGATAGCAGGTCCCGAGTCTTCCCGCAGGGGCTGAGCTGGAATCACGCAAGCACAACACTGGTTACACATAGAGCCTTTCCCAGGCTTCAGCTCACACGATCCTCCCGCTGGGGCCCTATGGGCCAATCAGGGCCCCCAAATTCAGTCATTTCAGGCAGGAAAAAGGAGACCTCAGGAGAGCCAAGCCCACACTGATGAGCAGCAGAATGAGGCTGGGCTCGAGCTCTTCTGCCTGCTGCCAAGCCCCGGGCACTTTCTGCCGCACAGCAGGGGCCTTGGTTCCCAGGCCCCCCTCCCTGCAGGGTCTCACCTGCACCAGGCTAAGGGTAGTAAGCACAGGATCAGGGCCCCCGGGGCGGCAGAGCTTCCTCAAACAGCATCTGCAACAGCTAAAGTGGAGAAAGGGGTTCAGTAGGGATGCAGAAAGGTTGAATCCATAATTCAGCACTTCCTGAGGGTGAAATCTGCACCTGGTTCTCCACTAGGTGCTACAGACACAGTCTCCAGGACAGAAAGAGCCCCAGCCCTTGCGGTTCTCAGCCGGTCACATGAGTAGACATTTTCAGTGAGACCTGCTGTTTCCTATGGCAGGGGCCTATGACAAGTTTCTGAAGTAGCTATTTTGATTTCGGGGGCATTTTCATGAAGCCCTAAAAACAAAACTGTCAAGTTTATTATCAGTATTAAGAAAACCTGTGAAGATTAGACCTCCCTGGATCTTTGATCTTTGCAAACCACCCCTCCCTGACCCTCACTCCATGGGGCCCAGCTTCCCACCTTCCCTGACCTACCTCTCAGTCGCTGCCTAGATTGGACCCTGGCAATCTAGGACCTGTACGGACCGCAGTGTACTATAGGAACCCCAAGGAGGGGAATCTAATCCAGCTAAGAAGGGGAAGGGAAGTTTCTCAAAGGTATCGGGGAGGAAGGAACACCTGAGCCTCATGAGACTTATGCCCGGTGGCTCCTCTGGGACTCACCTGAGGTACAAGCCGGGGTGTCTCTGCTTCCCGACCCTGAAGCAGTAGGGCCACACTGTACCCTCGGGCCACCAAGCCTAGTGTGGGCTGGACTCGTGCTAGCAGCTCCTGCTCAGCCTCCTACAGGGGACACAGACACATCCCCTGATCTCAGGTGCCCTGACCCAGTCTGTCCGAGCAAAGGGCTTGGGAAGCACTCAGCACTCCAGGATCTAGGAGCCTAAGGGCTCCCATGCTCCTCCCAGCTCCCTAAAACCCCCCTACCTGAGTGGCATCAGAGCCCAGGACTCTGTCAAAGGTGAGGCATTGTTCCTGTGGGGAGGGCTAGGCTCAGCATTGTCAGTTCTGTCTTCCCCAGCCCTCACCCTCACCCTATTCCATCTTTACCTGAGCATCTGGAGTACCCGGCTGAAGCAAGCGGATGCTCTTGGGCCCCTCCAGAAGGACTGTAGGGCCTGAGAAAGACGGACTAGATATCAACTCTCAGAGGGAAAACTGCCAGCACTCCTAGGTCCTGCTCTCAACCTTGGCTTCAGTTTCCTAACCGGGGTACCATGCACAGGATCAGAGGCCCTGCGAGGCAGAGCTCCCTCAAAGAGCATCTCAGGGCAGCAGCAGCAGCTGAAGCAGTAAAATGACCTCATCCTTCCCCTCTCCCAAGAGGCTCCCCTAGGCTGCACTCCCTCTAAGAATGAATGTGTAAGAATTTCTTACCTGATCCTCTTCGCCCTCCCTCTACTTCCACCACCACCATCAGCCTTGCCGGGGGGTTGACCATGAGGGCTGGGGGCACTGAGCTGTCCTGGCCCAAAGCAGCCCCTGCGCTAGCTGCCTCTCCACACTCCATGGCTTCTGTGCCTCTCCGATTCCCCTCAATAATTCATCTCCCTGACCTGAGGGCTCTGGGGAGGGCCTCTAAACAACAACTTATCAAAGGAGGTGGCAGTCCCCTCCTTCCTTCCTTCTTTCATTCCTTCCTTCCTTTCTTTCCTTTCTAAAATTTTATTTCTTTATGCATTCATTTATTCATTTATTCATTCATTCATCTTAGTGAATATAAGCGATAGAAGTTTATTCAGCAAGGAGGCAGGAAAAAGCTCTCAGGAGTGAGAGGGGTCCTGACAGGGTTGCCCTCTTTCTTTTTCTTAAAAGATCTTATTTATTTATTTGAGAGAGAAAGAGAGCATAGGAACACAAACACCGGTCAGGGAGGGGCAGAAGGAGAGGGACAAACAGACCCCCTGCTGAGCAGGGAGCCCAGCAGGACCATGAGGATCATGACCTGAGGCCAAGTCAGACACCCAGGTATCCCAACAGTCCCCTCTTTTCTGAGTCAGAACATTGCATCAGATTCTTCTTTTTTTCCCTCACATATACAGCTGTAGAGAGAATAATATGATGATCCTCCAAGCACTCAGCTTCAGCAATTATCAACCAATGGTCAGTATTATCTCTTCTGGTCCCCTCCCCATGCCCTATGGATTTTTTTTGAAGCAAATCCCAGACATTTTATGTGTCATCTATAGCTATTTCAGCTCATATTTACAGAAGATAACCACCCTTTAAAAAACAAAACAAAACAAGACAATGGCTTAATTTGGTGATGATGAAGAGAAAGAGAACACCCTTACACTGTTGGTCGGAATGCAAACTGGTGCAGCCACTCTGGAAAACAGTATGAAGTTTCCCCAAAAAGTTAAAAATAGAACTACCCTATAATCCAGCATTTGCACTACTAGGTATTTATCCAAACGTTAGAAACATAGGGATTCAAGGGGACATGTGCACTCCAATGTTTATGGCAGCAATGTCCACAATAGCCAAACTATGGAAAGAGCCCAGATGCCTACTGACAGATGAATGGATGGGTATATATGACATCTTCTTTATCCATTCATCTGTCAGTAGACATCTGGGCGCGCTTTCTCTCTCTCTCTCTACACACACACACACACACACACACACACACACACACACACAGGAACATTTCTCAGCTCTCAAAAAGAATGAAATTTTGTCATTTGCAATGACATGAATAGAACTAGAAGACATTATGCTAAGTGGAATAAGTCAGTCAGAGAAAGACAAATATGATTTCTCTCGCATGGAATTTGAGAAACTGTTTAAAACAGATGAACACAGGGGAAGGAAAGGAAAAATAAGATAAAAACAGAGAGGCAGGCAAACCATAAGAGACTTAACTATAGGAAACAAACTGAGGGCTGCTCAAGGGGAGGTGGCTGGGGGCCTAGGGTAAGTGGGTGATGGGCATTAAGGAGGACACTTGGTGTAATGAGCACTGGGTGTTATATGCAACTGATGAATCCTAAATTCTACCCCTGAAACTAATAATACACTATATGTTAATTAAATTGAATTGAAATTTAAACAGATTTTTTCTTTTTTTTTAAGATTTTATTTATTTGTTTGACAGAAAGTGAGATCACAAGTAGGCAGAGAGGCAGATAGAGAGAGAGGAGGAAGCAGGCTGCCTGCTGAGCAGAGAGCCTGATGCAGGGCTCAATCCCAGGACCCTCAGATCATGACCTGAGTCGAAGGCAGAGGCTTTAACCCACCGAGCCACCCAGGCACCCCAAAATTTAAACAGATTTAATGATGCCTTATGGAGATATAATTCATACATCATACATTTTACCCACTCAAAGTGAGTATTTCAATGGGTTTTACTATCACCATTTTAGAACATTCCCATCACTTTATAAAGAAACTTGGTTTCCTCTATTATCACCTCTCTAACCCCACCCTACTACAATCACTAAACAACCATTAATCTATTTTCTCTCTCTATAGATTTGGATATTCTGGACATTCATATAAAACAAATGACATGGTCTGTGTTCTTTTTGTGACAGGCTTCTTTCACTCAGAATAATGTTTTCAAGGTTCATCCATACAGTAGCATGCATCAGTATTTCTTTCCTTTCTATGACTGAATGATTTTCCAGATAGAGGTGAAAAGACTTCTGTCTCCTACTATACAGAGTTTGGCCAAACTTCACAGCAAAGAGTATGTCTCCACAAGATTGCCTTTACTTCAGATACTAGTCTCAAGCTTGGGGTCCCCAGTCCTTCCTCATTCTGACCAGCTAGCAACATCAGGTGACCTGTAAGGACCTATTTAGCTAGAGCGATTTCATCTCAGTTGAACAGCCATTTTGTTGTTTATGCAGTAAAACTTAAACTGACCCTGTCCCCCCCACCCAGGGGACTGACTTAACAGCAAGTCCAGGAAATAAGTCCCAGGTAACAGAGCCCAAATACAAGGGCGGGTCAGGCCAGGTGGAGACATCCAATCAGTGGGGCGCACATACTGTCTCCCTAGCTACCAAGGAGTGTGGGCCCCGCCTTTTGGGCGCCTTTTGGGCACCAATCCTGACCAAGGTAATAGGCTAGTTCAAATAGCTACTATGGGGTGAATTGTAATTCAATTGGCCACCCGTGTGTGACCTAACATGACTGTGCAGCTTTCTCTGTGTGTTACAGTCTCATTGGCCACCTGTGTGTGGCCAGGCTCAACCACATGGCTTTGCTCTATAAAAGTTAGTCTGTAAGGCTGGGAGGGTCGTCCTCTCTGTAAGAGGCTGCCTGGAACGGTTGGTTTGATTCTCGATGCCTGGCGTGAAATAAAGCTTTGCTTGACCTTCGCTTTGTATTAGTTTCATTCCTGGGCGCCTGGGTGGCTCAGTGGGTTAATCCACTGCCTTCGGCTCAGGTCATGATCCCAGAGTCCTGGGATCGAGTCCCGCATCGGGCTCTCTGCTTCAGCGGGGAGCCTGCTTCCCTCTCTCTCTCTCTGTATTAGTCTCGTTCCTTTGATTACGGATCCATCAACCCCACTATTCTGCAGGCTCCATAATTTGCTAGAATGACTTACATAACTCAGGAAGGCACATTATACTTACTGTATCTTACACCAATTCTCTGACACCGACTGGGTGTTCTATAGTTGATTCCAATTCTGACACTAACACCCAGAGTTAGCACCAGTTCCCACAAGGTCCTCAACAAAACTGCCTGTATTTCTGATGACAGCCACAACTAGGAACCCCAAGCTGTTTGCACTACTGTCTGACTTGGCTACAGATTTGGGGGTTCTGATTGCTACCTTTCAGCTTCAATAATTCAGTAGAATGACTCCAGAACTAAAAGGTGCTCTACTTATGAGAACCTTTTTATTATAAATGAACAATCAGATGAAGAGGTACATAGGGCAAGGTCTGGAAGGGGCCTGAGCACAGGAATTTCTGTCCCTGTGGAGTCAGGGTGTGCCACAAAAGTTATTTTTAATTGAGATTTCATTATGTAGGCATATGTTTCATAAAATCATAGGCTATGTGACTAAACTCAACTCCAGGCTATGTCATGGCTGTTTCTTCTGATGAGCAGCCTTCTCAGGGGAAGCTATCTGGGGGTCCTGCCAGAAGTCACCTCATTAACATAGCATAGAGACTCCTATCATCCAAGAAATCCCAAAGGTTTTTGAAGCTCTGCTCCTTCAACTCGAGACAAAGACCAGATATATTCTTTATTATATCACAAGCCACTTGATGGTTTTTCACCAAGGATCCCTTAATAGCAAAAGGGTCATACCTGTTTGATTATCTACATTTCATAAAGTATTTATATAAGAGAACAATAATGAAAACATGAATATGGTAGTCCCCACCTTATTTATGGAGGGTATATTTCAAGACACCCAATAAGATGCCTGAAACCACAGATTGTTCCAAACCCCATATATACTATGCTTTTTCTTATGCATATCTATGGTAAAGTTTAATTTATAAATCAGCCACGGTAAGAGATTAACAACAATAATAATGAAATAGAACAGTTATAACAATATACTGTAATAAAAATTATGTGGATATGTTCTCTCTTTCAAGATATCTTATTGCTGGGGCATCTCGGTGGCTCAGTCAGTTGAGCATCCAACTCTTAGTTTTGGCTCAGGTCATGATCTCGGGGTCATGAGATCCAATCCCACATCAGACTCCATGATGGACACGGTGTCTGCTTAACATCCTCTTTCACCCTCTCCCTCTGCCCCTCCCCCTGCTTGCTCATGCTTGCGTGATCTCTCTCTCAAAAGAAAAGAGAAAGGAGGTGTGCCTGGGTGGCTCAGTGGGTTCAAGCCTCTGCCTTCTGTTCAGGTCATGATCTCAGGGTTCTGGGATTGATCCCTGCATCAGGCTCTCTGCTCAGCAGGGAGCCTGCTTCCCCCTCTCTCTCTGCCTGCCTCTCTGCCTACTTGTAATCGCCATCTGTCAAATAAATAAATAAAATCTTTAAAAGAATAGAAAGGAAAAAAGGAAAAGAAAAGAATCTTATCTAATCTTACTGGGCTCATCCTTCCTCTTCTTGTGAGGATGTGAGATGATCAAATGCCTACGTGAGGAAATGAAGAGTAGTGAATGATGTAGGCATTGTGACACAGGCTTGAGGAACTGAAACTGCAGAGTTAAACTGTAGATAAGGGGGTAACAAATTTATGTATGACTAACATTTGAAGGAGTCAGTGTGGGGTAGACACAGGAGGCCTTAACTAAATTTCCCATGCCTATCAATAATATAATCTTATCAACAATGCCAGTGGCATATTATATCTCATTGTGTAGATATGGTACAAAAAAATAAGAGTTATTAGTCCAGTCTATCACTCTATTTTGATTAAAATGTCCCCCAGGGCAAGGCTACCCAGGTTTGCAGTCTTCCATTTTAATCTAGTCATATAGTTGAGTTGAATAGCACTGCTATGAATGTTTTGGTACAAATTTTGTTTTACATATCCCTTTTCAATCCTTTTGCATATATATCTAGAAGTAGTATTGCTGGATGATATGGTAATTATACATTTAACTTTTTGAGGAACAGCCAAACTGTTTTTCACAGTGGCTGCCCCATATTACATTCCCACCAGCAACATGTGAGGTTTCCTATCTGTCCACATTCTCACCAACAGTTCTTTCTCTTCTTCTTTTTTAAAATTTCACTTATTTGACAGAAAGAGAAAGAGGGAGCACACACAGGGGGAGCAGCAGAGGGAGAGGGAGAAACAGGCTTCCTGCAGAGCAAGAAGCCTGTTGTGGGACCCTGGGACTATGACCCCACCCAAAGGCAGATGCTTAACCAGCTGAGCCACCCAGACACCGTTCTTCTTTCTTTCTGTTTTTTTTTTTTCAAGTTTATTTATTTGTCAGATAGAGAGTGAGAGGGAGTTAGTACACAAACAGGGTGAAAGGCAGGCAGAGGGAGAAGCAGGCTCCCCACTGAGCAAGGAGCCTTTTGTGGGACTCAATCCCAGAACCCTGGGATCATGACCAAAGGCAAAGGCAGACACTTAACTGAATGAGCCATCCAGGAGTCCCCTCTTCTTTCTTTTTATTAGAGCCAGACTAGTGGGTGTGAAGTGGTGCCTCATTATGGCTTTGATTTACCTTTCCTCAATGACCAATGATTTTAAGAATCTTTTCACATGCCTGTTTGACCGTCTGTTTAGCTTCTTTGAAGAAATATCGATTTAAGGCTTTGCCGAGGTTTTA